GGGGGGGGGGGGGGGGGGGGGGGGGGGGGGGGGGGGGGGGGGGGGGGGGGGGGGGGGGGGGGGGGGGGGGGGGGGGGGGGGGACTCTGCCCCCTAGAAAAAAAAATCACTTCTGTTCAGCTTGGGAGGGGGGTATCGCACCATCATGTTTCTTATTGGGGCGTTTCTTACGTTCGCTGTGGCCGAGATTGAGGTATGTATGTTTCTTGAGCTCTTTTTTCTTATTTTTCGTACACACTTGAGCCTTTTTTCTCAACAGAATTTTTCTTAAATAAGGGCGCTATCTGTATTTGTACGCGAAGGGAAGGGGTGGCGAGTACCGTGAGACGCAGTACCTTCTTTCGAAGACCGTTCATTCGTTTACTTATGAAACTCAACAGAGCCGTAGAGCCAAGCCGCGGGGGGAGGTTCAGGGAACTCTTCGCGATATGTGGAAGGAAACGCCATCAGGGTAGCTTTTGGTCTCCGCCGGGACAGTGATACGTACTGATAAGTCGTGTTCCTCGGTGCGTCGCTCAAAAACGCTCGTTTTTTATTTTTTTACAAGAATGAGATAAATATATGTCTACTTGAACTTTCTTTCTTCTTCCGCTGCCGGCTATGCAGTACATTAGTTGGCCAAGTACAAACTGGTGTACTGTAGCTGTTTTCAACCCGTCCCCGACTGCTGTACATCTCATTTTAAATTAAATAAATATGTTCGACATCAACAAACGGTTGCCAGTCGTCTCGGCGATGCTGACTTTTCGGATCACCCCCTTCCTTAGCACAACACGCGTAGTTTGAGGTAAAGCATGCCTCCATTGGCCCCGGGGATGGTGAGCTATCGTCCCCTGAAGTTTAAGGACGCAACCCCGCTGTAAGGACGCTTTTTTTCGGGAAAAACCATGTGCTTCCTCACAGCGGGGTCGACTGTAAATCGAAATACAATCGTAATATCGGTACCAGTTGTCGCGGTGTCTTCAACGGTCACAAGTATCCAACGGCCCTTCGTATCCGACCTACACGTACACACAGAAACACGTGACCACAAGTCTAGAGTTTCTTTCCAAGTGAAAATAATCGGGACGGTAAATGGAAACTACCAAATCCCTTCTGCGCAAGCTCTAAATAGCGAAAAGAGAGGTCCCATCGTACGGGTTACATAAGTGCGTCATCGTCGTCGCCTTACCTCTTGATTTTCATTTCGAATGGCCTGCCCCTTGTGAGGCCGTCGTACAGCTTCCGCATGTCCTGGGCCAGCTGATTCTCCTGCTCCAAAAAAAAGGCAGAGCGGTGGGAAAAAGGACGAGGTTGGGGGGTGCATATGCTCAACCGCTCAGCCTGGCTATCGTGCATGGCTGACACCGTATGTTGACGGGAAGAGAGGAAGGCTGTTGTTGTTGTTGGATACGCGATGCCGTTGATAACAACGAATTACAAATTTGAGCGGGGTTGGGGGTTACGTGCACCCGTTTCGAGAGGCAGGGGGGGGGAGGGGGTGAGCGACGAGGGGTATTACTTCAGAGGCATGCATGGCGGCGATGCCTTGGCGAATTGGTGAGGTGTGCTCCCTGTCATCGGTGATGCATAGTTCTTGCGAAGTGGGTAAGAGGAAGACGCTTCATCAACGGAGGCTGCAAAAAAAAGATAATATCCCGGGACAACCATTGCTTGCAATAACATCAACAGCAGCAGCAACAGCAACAATAGCAGCAACAACAATAACAACAACACTAGCAGCAACACCCACCTCCATGACCGATTCCTGCCATCTCTCGTCCCCCCTCGCCTTCATCTCGTCCGGGGAGTACTGACGAGCGCCCCCGTGCAGCCTGCCACCGAAGTTCATGTAGAGACCCGTCCCGTTGTAGAGGGCATCGTCGCGCATGTCGATGAACTTCTCCATGTCAGCGATGAACTTCTCCGTGTCGCCGGTGCGTCGGTCTTTCTTCTCGAGTAGGTGTTTGACCTCCCTGCTGATGTAGCTGAGAGCGAGGGGGTTAGGGAAAGAGGGGGG